CTGGCATATTGGAGACTTGACATAATGACAGAACAACCAAAATTGAATTGCTACATTGAGCTGTGTGATAATAAGCTTTCATCAAGTCTATGATGAGGTAGCTAAGGGTCATTTGACCTACACCTCATACCTGACCGTACATGATGCTTTTTCTGCCCTTCCATGATTTGGGCAGGGAGGAGGGTAAGGCCTGATTGGGTGCAGGTGCCTACAGAGTGTTCATTCTAGCCTTCCCATTTGCCTCGATATTTTTTAGCATGTCTTACTGATCTTTGCTTTAGATGAATAGGTAAGCTGGGCTGACACACCTCAGGACAGCTGAAAATAAGTATGGATCTTTCAAAACAAATCTCAGTGTGGTATAGACCATGTATCCTGGGATCTTGGCCAAGTTCTGTCCTGTCTGTGGCATCTCCCTTGCATCTTCTCCCCTATCCACTTTTTTGTCTACTGTCCTGTGCCCCACCATAACTAGTTCCTCACCATCTCCCATCTGGAGGCACAATGGTCTATTACCATTTCCCCAGCTTTAGTTCCTTCTCCATAGCAGTTTGAAGTTCCTAAAACCCAGCACTTGCCACTCCTCTTTGCCAAACACATTCATGTCTCCCCATTAGCCACAGAATTGCTCTTTAAATATCTACAATCTCACACTAAGCTGCTTCTCAAAAAGCTGTTTACAAACTACCTCTAAAGGACCTTCTATGAGTGGCATGTGTCTTAAAACATCCCCTTGATCTCTCTCTCTCTCTCTCTCTCTCTCTCTCTCTCTCTCTCTCTCGGGTTTCATGTAGCCCAAGTTGGCCTCAAAATCCATCCTAGCTCCAGGACCACCTCCTCTAAGACTTTCTTTTCCATCTATTTTGTTCTTGAATTCACATAAATTGTCTTTTGGGGAATTTATACTTTGCTCTTATTTTATTCATTCATTGATAACATGTTTTGAACTTCATTAAAAAATTGCAAGTTCCATGTTGGAATCAGTTCAGAATTTCCCCAAGAGCACAGTGTTTGCATATAGTAGAGTTTCTACTCTTTTTCTTTTTTTTCTTTTTTTTTTTTTTTTTTTCTCGGTCTTTTTGAGACAGGGTCTCCCTGTAGCCCCAGCTGTCCTGGAACTCACTATGTAGACCAGGCTGGCCTTGAACTCACAGAGATCCCCTTGCCTCTGCCTCCCGCCCCCCAGTGCTGGGATTAAACACTTTTATTTTTAATTACAAACAAACACATATGTATATAAAACATGCAGTGCAAAGACATTATCAGATCAAAAGAATGAATCCAACAGCCCTTTCCCCATGTCTTAAATTCTCCAGCTCCTATCTCTAATTGTATACATCTTTTAGGACTTTTACATGGATGTATAAGGATATAGACATAACACTTTGCACAATAGATCTTCTTGTTTTTCTCATACCACACGTAGATTTGGTTGAACCTGTTAATGCCTGTATAGCATGTTGCTGACATGGAGGAGGATGTCTCCCTAGGTATCCTTAGACTCTTGCCACTCTGAACATATGTGCAGTTAAGTTTTGGCCATGTTACTTGCCAAAGAGGCTACATCAGCATGTACATGAACATTTGCTTTGCATTTTTTTCTCATCGATGTGAAATGTTCTTTGTATCATATGCCAAAATCCATATGTATTCAGCCTCATTTCTTGGTTCCATGTTCCATCCCATTGATCTTTTCAGCATGAAATTCTTTTAGTTACTCTAATAACAATTTTATTTATTTATTTATTTATTTAGGCTTTTTGGGACAGGTTCTCACTATGTAGCCATGGCTTGCCTGGAACTTACTATATAGACCAGGTTGACCTTGAACTCACAGAGATCTGCCTGCTTCTGCCTTCCAAGTCCTAAGATTAACAGCATGCACCACCATGCTTGGAAACTATTATAGTTTAAAAATATTTTTAAATATTTTATTGTATGAGTACACTTTTTAATTAAAACATTTCTGGATATTCTAGCAAATTCCTTGTACTATGTACACCTGGATAAATTTTACAATAATTTTAGAAAATTAAAAAGATGTAACTATTAGAAAGTTCTTTTTTTAAACTTAGAAACATATTGATAGAATAAAGTTGACTAATATGCTTCTGAACAGAGCCCCCACTTAGCCAAGTCTCCCGAGAAGATCCCCAATAGATATTTAAATTCTCTTTATACAATACTTGAATATTTCACATTATATTTATGCTAGTGTATCATCCTCTGTTTTACTATATTTTCTTACTGATTATTACTTTTGTACAGAAAAACAGTTAAATTTTTCAAACTAATATTATAGGCATATGCTCTTTCTGAATTTTCTTAAAGCTTTTAGTAGGGTTTTTGTGTTAAATTTTAGACTTCATAGGAATAAAATTGTCTTAACTTCAAATAATGTTTTTACCTGGCTTTAAAATATTTACATTTAGGGTTTTTTGCTTTTGTGTGTGTGTGTGTGTGTGTGTGTGTGTGTGAAGGCCTGAAGTTGATGTCAGGTATGTTTCTCAACTGCTCTCCACTTTATCTGTTGAGGCAAGGTCTCTTGCTGAACCCAGAGCTCACCAATTCCTCTAGCTAGCTGGCTTGCTCAGGGATCCCCTGACTCTGCCTCCGAAGTACTGGGATTACACTGGCTGCCACTCCCACTTAGTTTTTATGTGGGATCTGAGTTCCAGTCCTCATGCCTTATCCACCGAGCCGTCTCCTCAACCTTTAGTTTGTTTTTTCACTTGCTAGTGTCTCAGTAATGGTGAGGTTAAACAGCCATCACTGGCTCACCCGCAACTATAGTGGGAATTCTGCTGGCTTTTGGTTAAGGACATATACATCTAGTCCTGTAGAGGACAGAGAGAGAGAGAGAGAGAGAGAGAGTGAGAGAGTTTTATTGAGGGGTGAGTATTGAATTTAATCTCATAACTTTTTAGCCAATTGAATTACGAAGTTTGTAAACTTAGATCAATTACGATCTAATTGAATACAGTGGTTTTTCCCAACATGAACAATTCTTGATTTCTTGGACCAAATCATGCTTGAACATAGTGTATTTTCTTAATCTGTAACTGGCTTTTGGTTCTAGTTTAATGTAAAATTGACTCTAAGCAAAATTCGTCTCATGAGGGTCTTTTTGTGTGTGCTTCTTGTTTTTAAAAAATGTTTAACGTTTATACACGGAATTAGGAATAAATCCGTTAAACACAACTTACATAAAAATGGGTGAACGCACATGAATATGCAGTTCTCAAATGTAAATAACCATTGTAAAATCAAAGGGGGAATTCTATTCACCCATTTTCTATTATCATAATGGAATACCTGAAACCTTGTAATTTGTAAAATAAAAGGGTTTATTTAGGTAATAGTTTTGGAAGCTGAAAGACCTGTTGTGACAATAGTGTGACCACAGCTCTGGAGAGGGTCCCTTTGTCTGCATGGCATAGTGGCAGTCAGCATCAGGGCAAGGAGGAGATCACATGGAGAGACAGGAAACCAGAGCAAAGATCTCTCATAACATCTCATCTCTTAAAGATTCCCACCATCTCTTACATCACCACATAGGGACCATGCCTCCAACACACGCATGAATACATACACACACACACATACACACATACACTAAATATCACCTTTAGCTTGAAAAACTAAGATAGCCTTAAGGCTGTCTTTTTCACCCCTGTCTCTCCAGCATCATTTAAAGAAAAAATATAACCATATGTATGAATCCCTATGTATGAATCCCCATGGGAAAGATTACAATCACTTTTGTCATCTCAGATCTCTCCAATATGCTAAACACAAGAGTTCATATACACAGTGACAACGATTCTTTGACCAGATTCTAGTCAAGGTTCTGAGCCTTCCCCTAGGCCCACTTGTGCACTTCCTTACAAAATTCAGTTTTACCAAAGAGCCCTGCTCCCTTAATATATGGCCACTCTCAGTATTTGATCAGATTCCTCATCTCCCACCAGCCCCCAGATGATCATGGTAACCTATCTGCTTCTAGAATCCTATTGGATCCTTGTAGTTCGAATTTTCCTTCTGGCTGAAGTTTCTTCTTAGTGCTTTTTAATCCATTGACCCCCTTCATGATCCTTGTAAGAATTCCTACTTGCTTATGCTCTATGCAGAATTAGGCCCAACCTCCCTGTCCCACCGAAGTTCCCAGTGCAGCGATCTCTACTTGTCAAGAGACCCTGAATAGGGTCTTCTTCCCCATGCTTTAGAATGTGCCATTGAATATTTTTTCTTTAACAAGAGATACTTAACTTCAACTTTAATGTCTGTAACAGGTACAACAAAAGATTCAGTGTCCCTACTTTACAAAAAGAAAACTACAAAATTAGGTTTCTATTGCCATCCATTCAGGATTGCTTTTGAAACCAAGCATCAACATTTTCCTTCAACAAAGTGGCTCTGATGATCAGAACAGGAGTTGCATACTTAACCCAGACTCTAGAAATAACCAGATGAGTTTAACTGCAAACAAGTCCTTGAGAAACTCAGGTCTCTATTTCTTCAACTATAAGATAATGACAAGGTCCACTTGCTTCGAGAGACTACAAGAATAATGAAAAGAAATACTACATGGTGAAGCCTTTTATCAATCTGACACAATGTGAAATAGTATCAGTATTTTGAGTATTACAAGTGACTATAGTTGAATAGTATTTCACACTGCAATTTTATACAGGATCCTGGCCTTCTCCATATCAAATAGAGATCCATAGAAGAGCAGGGTGTTCTGACATTTCTTCCTTCTCCCCATTACTCACTTCCCTTCCCCACCAGTTTTACTTCTGCTGCCCTTCAGCATCTGCTCCTATGGCATTTACCACAGGGAGAGAAAAGCAGGCAGAAGAACAGGTGGCAGAGAGCTCCTGGCACTGTCTAGGTGTTCGGCACGGCAAAGTGGAGCAAAATACAGTTCCTTGAATATGTGGCTGCCGTAACTACTTCCAGCATCAGAGTTCAAGTGCATGGGAGATAAAGCTACTTACGAGACACAGAGGCACAGGACTCCTGGCATAGACTCGCTGTCTCTTAACAGAAAGTTGCCATCCACACCTTCCTTGAGAAGCAAGGTTTCGCACTCTTGCTTAGTCAGTGGGCCATGGTAGTAGGGCAGATCCATGGAGGGCCAGCTTGTGCTTTAACTGCCCTGTTAACCTGAAATCCAGCTCCAGGTCAAGGGATGGCTCTAAAGAGGAAAGTGGAGGGAGCTGTGAAGGGGCAAGGCCCCTTCTTCCAATGGTGTCCAGACAAGATGAAATTGCTCTGTGGGGTTCATTCAGTTTCACAAGACTCAGGAAATGAAAAGGGAGGGGGTGATGAAGTGACCAAGACATTTCAGCCTAGGAGTGGCCCAAACATGACTCATAGAAGTGGGTGAGAGCGCCTTTGAGTTCACAGTGGAATTAGTGATATATATTTGTGGCTGGGCTGCATGGCTGAAGTCAAGCTTCCTGAATCTGGGTTACATCTTGTAAATGACCAGCTTTGTAATGGGTACCATCTTCTGCTGGGGTTTTCTCCAATGATGCTATATTTAGTTCAGAATAGATGCTCAAAAAAACCATTTAGATGCTGAAAGAGCTAATATTCTAAACACAGATATTTCAAAGAGTAGGACTTCTACTGGTCAAATCACATGAAAATGTAAACACTTCTGGGAATAGAAATGAAAAGACAGCATGAATGAAGCCAACCTTTTCCATGCAAACGCTCCTAGCCACTGATGTACAAAGGCTATCTTTAACTCTCTTGAGCACTGTGAATTTTGAGGCGGGAGGCAGGTAAGAGGAATATCTGGTTATACATTTTAATGCAGGCAGGAGAGATATCTGCTTGTGCAATTTAGTGCAAGTACGAGGGATATCTGCTTATGAAACTTAAACTAGGTAAGAGGGAACTCTGGTTATGCAACTTAGGATGTGTGAGAGGAACATGCAGGGTTGCTTCTCCACATGAGAGGAAGAGAGTATAAGGGATTGAAACCTCTTAGGCCTATCGAGTTTATATGCTGAAGAATAGCTGTGATGTGTTTCCACGAAAAAATATTTTTAAAAAGCATCTGACCAGAGGCATTTATCCCCAGCCCCTACCTGTAGATCATTTTGGTCAGCTGACAGTCTTGGATAAGATAGATAATGATTTGGCTTCTGTTTTCTTTTGTTGTTGTTGCTATTATATTTTATTTTTATTTTATGGGTATGAGTATTTGCCAGCATGCGTGTAAGTGCATCATGTGTGTGTACTGCACATAGAAGCCAGAAGAGGGCAATGGATCTCCTGGAACTGGAGTTATGGATGGTTGCTAGCCACCATGTGGGTGCTGGAAACTGAACCCAGGTACTGTGCAAGAGTAGCCTGTGCTCTTAACCACTGAGCCATCTCTCCAGCCCATGGCTTCTGTTTCCTGAGGATTAAAGTTAGCTTGGAGAAGTAAGCACCCAAACCAATCTATACATAATTATCAATCAATTTTAGATAGACTAAGTCTATCTTGACAGCCTGGGTTAGATCCTCAGGACCTGCACAGTGGAAGGACAGGATTGACTTCCCCAAGTTGTCCACTGACTTCCATATGTACACCATAGCACATGTGCACCCCCATCCGTCCCCACACCCCACAAACACAAATAAGTAAATGCAATTTTCAAAAATTAATTGTAATTACCTAATTCACACAATTCTCATCAGACAATGCTAATTTTATTTTTTTTTTTTCGGTCTTTTTGAGACAGGGTCTCCTTGTAGCCCCAGCTGTCCTAGAACTCACTATGTAGACCAGGCTGGCCTTGAACTCAGAGAGATCCGTCTGCCTCTGCCTCCCAAGTGCTGGGATTAAAGGTGTGCACCACCACGCCCGGCCCTAGCTAATTTTTTTTTTAAATCAATGCCCATTCAGTAATTTATTGGCCACAATGTTTTCTTTCTTAGAGCTAAAGGCATGGTGAACTTTTAGCTTTTACCTCAGGAGTAAACCTTTAACATGGCCTAATCTTTTTTTTTTTTTAATTTAATTTTTAAAAATTATTTATTTAATAACCACATAATTAGAAGAAGCATATCATTACAACACAATTGACATATTCAATAACGGTTTCCTGAGGTAGGATGCATCATTTTCAAAATTGGCTGTAAATTTTTAGGTTTACAGTTGAATTAATATAATTA